TTACATCAAAATTTCAAAGAAGAGTTAAGTTCCAGACAAGAAAAGGCAAAACAATATAATTGCCACTCTAATTCATACAACACAAATCAAAAGACATATACCTAGGCCGGTAAACAAAAACAAAAAAGAAAAACCTGGACCTGAGCGAAAGTACTCGATATAATACTTCTTTTTTATAACTGTCTCTGGTGCTAAAACTTCTGTATGTTTAAAGTTTTTTCGCACTGATATTGGTGTTGGAGAAACTAAAATAAAAAACGTAGCCAAAAAAGTGCATTTCGGGTTTGCTAGGTTTACAAGAGAAAAGAGGAGGTGACACTACCAAAAATAAGAAGTATATGAAGAAGGAAAGTGTTACATGAAATGAAGTACAAAAAAAATACATAAATAAAGGTTAGAGTTAAACAGGAGCAAGCAACAATACGCCATTGAAGCCTCCATCAATTCAAGAAGTACGGGATGCAATAAAACACCTAAAAAATAATAAATCTCCAGGAAGTGATGGTATACCCGTGGAACTTATTAAATGTGGAGGTGCTATTCTGACTAACCATATATATAAAATCATACTGAGAGCCTGGAATGAGGAACAAATCCGGAAGAGTGGTGTATTGAGATCGTTTGCCCACTACACAAAAAGGGTGATCATTATAAAAACATAAAAACTGTTGTTCTGAATAAGATTCTGTTGTTGAACAGAATAAGGTATCTGATAAATTTTAAGATTTGGCAGTGACAGTATGTAAATAATAAGTATTTATCCTTTAAAATACACTGCTTAATTTTTTAGGAACCAGCTGTACAAATTTGGCATTTACAAATAACAATTTAATAATGTTTATCAATATCATATATTTATTATAAATATATTTTAAACAAATAAATACAAAATAACAAATGACGACTTTTTTGCAATGAAATACGATAAATAAAGAAATAGCAAATATATGTCATTTTTTCCGAGCGCAGTATTTCAAAACTGTTGAGCGCTGCTGTCCCTTCAGTACCTACCCTCACTCCTTTAACTCTAGTCGAAACGAAAAGTACTCTTTGTTTGCAACTCTTCTGTTTAAACAATTTTCAATAATTTTGTTTTTGCTAAATGTTTTGTTAAAAACTTTTACACTAGCGGTGTATTACTTTTTTTCCTCTAAAGAGAAATAGCAGGATTGCAAAATTATTACGCAGAAATAGAAAATTCATTATTTTTAATCCACTATTTTGAAGTAAATATTAAATGTTTCAAAAAAATTTCAAAAACTTACTTCCAAATTTTTCTTTTTTACGACTTCTTTTGGTGAAGTTTCATTTATACTCCTTAGAATAATTAGATGTCTGTGATTATTGCAACAACAGTTTATGATAGGAAATTTAATTGAAAACATACCAATTTTACTTGTCAATTTTTATAGCAAATATACTTTCCTACATAAGACTCAGAAAAAAGGTTTTTTGTTTTAATTTTTTCAACTACCTTCCCAGACATTTACAGTCTTGTTTAAAATTCAAATATGTACTTTAAAACACATGGAAAATTGTCCACCTGCCAGTTTAATAAGTTTAAATCATGTCATGGAAGAAAAAGAAATATTACAAAGTAGATGGCAGCACCAAGTAAAAGACATAAGTGAGTTAACACATTCTATGTGGTAATTACAATGCTTATAAGTGACAGTTGAACATGCGCAAGTCATCATCCAACGCTAAGTGACAGCTGCATCGAAACCATTAAGCATACAAAACTTGAGCAGTATAACTTATAGTGTTAATTTCTAAAGAAATGTTTTGGCTTTTAAATAAATAACAACAAACTTATATGTTTCTAAGGTAAGAAAATATCAGTTGTTTTTATATTTTCATTATGATTTCCAATAAAAGAACATTTGTAAGAGAGATAAATACAAAATGTGGGTTGAGTTTACCGAAAGTACAAGCTGAATATAGCCGCAAATGTCAAAAATATTTGGGTTTGGCAGTGTTGGCATGTTTTTATAATGCATATGTTGTATGCTTCAAATATAGAGAGAAAGCTTTTAAAAAGTACATTTTGATTATACTATTTTATGAATTCTGCAATTTTAAATTTATATGAAGCAATACCATGTAGATATTTGTCTCTTTTGAGATTAATTGCAAACATATTTTGTAATCTGGCAAATTTGACAATTGCCAAATCTATCCCCTAACACTTTAGCTCCCATGTGCACCACCCGTGGGCACAGTAAGATTTCCGTTCAACCCATGTTGTCCCACAGATGGGCACAAAACTTATCCTTGTTCATTTTGGTATGTACCACTTATAACCGCAGATATAGACGATTTGCATGGCATAAGGGTTCTCTAGAATGCCTGTGGACGATGGTTTGTTACTCCAGCAATTTTTTGAGTAAATACAGGTTATGATATTTAGCCTATCATTGTATCATTTACACGCGTTGTTAGCTTGCAAAATAAAAGTTATTGTAGTACGTAAAATGAGTAAATCATGGAAAAATAAACAAAAGTTAAGTGAAGATAAATTTTAGAGAGCGATTTTTTTGAAAGTCACAATGAGTCGAAAAATTCGTTGAACGATTACAATTTTGACCAATCCAGGGATGCTACTAGTGAAGATAGTTATCTGGAAACTGCAAATGTTGCTAATAAGAACACTTTTAAAAGAAAAACTTCCGGCATGTCTGACCAGTTTTCGAAAAAAATTAAAATAACTGAAAATATACCATCTACAGGGAGAGTGCAACAAATACATAACAAAACTATTCTCAAACTGACGGGAATCAGTCAGAAAATGATGATAATATTAATTCCGAAATTGAAGAATCTGCATTAGATTTTTCATAAAATACAATAATTTGGGAAGACACTGATAGTAATAAGTTAAATCAATTTAAATTTGATGACAAAATTATGAATTTTAGAAATGTTGATCATATGAAAGATAAATTACCTATTGACTTCTATTTGCTGTTTCTGGAACCTGTTTTAGATTTACTTGTTACTGAAACTAACTGATACTTTGAACAAGCTTTGATCGACGGAATTTTGAATGATACCATATCAAAGAATGGTATGATTTCTAAATGGATTCCTACGACAAGAGAGGAAATGAAAGTATTTTTTGCACTGATAATATGAATGGGACTAAATTAAAACCAAGACCAAAACCAAGCTGCTCCTGAAAATGATAAGCTATATAAAATTAGTTCAGCACTTGAAATTCTACAGAAAGAATTTCAAAAAGTATGTATTGCAGGTAAGAAACGAAATTCTATATATTCCGAATGTTTACTTAGAATGTAAAGGTGTACGGTGGAAAAGGGACTATACCTATCAACAAGAGTATATCTATGGATGTGGTTATGGAGTTGATGGCAAAATTGTTAAATCATTGACAAACTCTTGCCATAGATAACTATTACACCAGTGTTACATTGGCTCACGAGCTAAAGAGAAACAAAACATTTGTAATTGGGACACTGCGAGGAAAGAGAAAGTTAAATCCTCAACAAATTGTTGAAAGCAAATTACAAAAAGGTGGAATGAAAGTACTTCAGAGTAGTTCAAAGGTTATTGTTGAAAAATAAAGAGATAAGAGAGAGCTGTTATTTTTGACCATGAAATCTGTTCCGGAAATGATAGATGTTGTAACCAAAAAAGGTATAGTCAAAAAGCCTTCCAGTATTGTCACATATAATTCAATAAAATCATATGTATATGTGTCCGAACAAAAGTCTGCTTATTCTTCAACGATTCGTAAGGGTGTCAAGTGGCACTGAAAAGTTTTACTCGAACTACTTACAAACATGGCAGTAGTAAACAGTCAATGTATTTATTAACATATGACAGGAAAGCATATTAGAATCACACAGTTTCGTGAAGATTTGGTACAATCACTGGTAAAAACAATAAATGTAGAAGTTCTTCCTCATTCACCACACACCCTTCAGGAAACTGAAACAAGAGGATAATGTAGTTTATGCTATAAAAACTATGCTGGCAGATATGGAAGGAATAGTGCAATGAAAAATGCAAAGATGGTAAAAACAAGGTGTCCCGAATGTCAGAAGAACTCTGGTTTCATGTGTTCTGATTATTTTTTTTGCAACACATAATTGTTATGTAAAAAAATAATTGGCTTGTTGTTAGTATGGCTTTTATTGAATCTATGTGCTGTGGGACGTTATAAGGTGTTGGGTTGTTCAAAATAAAATTAATTAAGTATTTCTTACTAGCCCATGTGTACCACATATGACCACACTCATTTTTTTGAAAAATCATGTTTGTGTTTTAACAAAAATATGTTTTAATTGTTCTTAACATTAATCTTCAGGTCCTTATATCAAAAAAGTATAATGGGTTGGCATAAAGTTTTTCAAATTATGGCCTGGGAGTTAAATTGCTAATCTATCAAAGGGTAATTGCTAAAAAATTTCTAATAATTAACTGCAATAAATCTCCAAAGAAACAAATATTTACTTATTGTTGTTTTATATAAATCAAAAATTGCAGAATTCATAACATAATATAAACAAAATTTACTTTTCTACATTATAAAAACATACTAACACTGCTATACCCAAATTTTTTGTTCCATGTTTGACATTTGCAGCTATATTCAGCTTGTACTTTTGGTAAACTCAACCCAAAATGTGTATCATTCAACATAATGAACTAACTGCAATGAAAGCTAAGTCTCATCTTTAATAAATGAACAAACATTAAAGCAATTAAAGTGGTGTGGCAATTTTTAAAACTAAGCAGTCTCAATTTCTGAAAGCTTTTCTAACATGTAGTTATTTTGGTAATGTATGTTTAGTTCATGCTGGTTTTCTAGTTTGCTTCAGAATAAATCTTATTTATTTATTTCCTGAGGTCTGAGTTAATATTAATTCTGTCTAATCCTTTAGCTTATACCTGACTGTTTTTTATTCATGTTATCTTGAATTATAACAAGAAAATAAAATTGTGAAAAAATAATGTTTTGATAATGAAAGAAATTGTTGGGAGATAACTTTAAATCATATAAAACCTTATATTACACTATTTACAAAATACAGTTTGACTTAAATATTATCACAAAGACCAATAAAAAAAGACTAAGATCTATTTGTCCTGGTTCTGTGCTGTGTTGTCCTCTGCCCCCTTTGCCTTTTCTGATTATCAGCAGGAGGAGGGCCATTCCCGCTGGACCTTGATGTAGATGTACTGTTAACTGTTGGTTTCGCTGGACCAGCAACATTGTTGTGCTGCATGGGAGGTACTATAGGAGGACCAGTTGTAGTGACTGGAGGTGGTTGAGGTGGTCCCACATTTACTCTTCCTGTAGCATTGTTTGTTCCATTATTCATAGGCATACTGTTTGTAGGAACTGGTGGCAATTGAGGTTGAATTTGATTTGGTTCGCTCATGTTATGTTGCTCATTGAATACCATGCAGAATTCACCAATTTTTTGCAAGTCTCCCCCCTTCGAAGTATACAGGGTTAGACAGTTTCTCCATACAGATACATATCCCTTAGTTAATCTGACTATATCACCTGTAAGACACATAAAATATCCACAATTAACATACCCCTTAAGTAATCACTGAAAGGAATAAAAAATAAAGTGAAAATGGAAAACAAAGAAGACCTATCTCCACTTTTGAGCATATAAGATTAAATGTATATAAACAACAAGATATTACATACGCAGCGCAAAAGAATTTTAGGTCAAAAATATATCCTGCTTAGTACCTTATCGAAAATGTAAGGGTGTGTATCCCATAAATGACCACCAATACAACCATCGGTATTTAAATTTATATAAAGAAAAGTTACCTGGAACAAGTAAGTGACCAGCTTCATCCCAAATACTAGCATTTATGCAAGCACTTTGATCCGCCACTTTGAAAGTTCGAACTTCGCGGTTTTCTTTGGTTACAGTGGGGTGGCCGACTTCTAAAACGATAAACACTACATTTACATTTTTCAAACCTGGACGCATGTCCTTTATCTGGGTGTAATTATCCATATTGGAAACTAAATTATTAAATACAGCAAGCAAATAGAAAATAGAACATTCAATGCCCGAATTCTCTATTAAATTAACAAAACGTAAAATCTCCTCCTTTTCCTACTCCTATAGAGCAATTATGTCAATGTCAAAAAATTTCATTTTTTGTTGTCGGCTAATGTTGGTAGCAATTAAAGGGGTTTCGATTTAACAACCTGGTTAACTGGTTGTTTCATTTTGAAGAGAGAAAATAGTATTTAAAATCTTTTTATTTAATAATAAATAATTTAATATTAATAAGCAACTGTTTCAAATATTTAAATATAATATAAATTATATATAATTTATACTCTCACAAAGTATTTCATCTCTGGTTTTATTCTATCTAACTAAATAGTAATAAAAATATCAGAGACATATCTCTGAAAAATATACAAAAATATCGACGCATGCGTCTATATTCTTTGGCATAACAAACATAATAATTAACTATTTGAATATTTGATCTTTTAATAAGCTAGGTAATCTAAATAAAAGTAGAAGATTGTAGACCTTCTTATTCTTTGGTATGAAGTTATTATTAATATATTGTAAAGCTTATATACACTTTGCTACCGAATGTTTTATCGGTCATACATAACAAGAATTTCCAAATACCTCCAATAAAATATAAATGGTTGGTATAAAATTTGAAATTGTTGGTAAATGGCTACCCTGGCCGGCAAACAAAAATAACAGCATATACCATAAATAGTAGTGTAAGTGGTATAGGACATGTGGGGCGAGTGAGTTACATGGGCCCAGCCGTTTGTAATGGCGACGGCGCTACTAGTCACTTTACGTTACGGACGTTGATGTAAGTGCTGTTGCCATGGTTTCACTAGTTTTGCATAATTACCCAAATGATGATTATACTATACAATGTTTTCCAAAAAACAAAGATTGTAGCAAATTCTACTAAAATCACAACTTCAATATTTATAATAATAACTTATTTCTAAAGAATTTTGAGTATTCACCGAAAACAAAATGTGTTAGTGGCAACATTGTAATACTCGCCATTGCAGATTTGCAAATTGCGTTATAAAAATATTGTATCCCCAATTTTAGAAACAGGAGATAAAAGCGGTATACATCAATTTTTATATATCTAATAAACATTGCTAAATGTGAAGAAGGTACAATACCAAAATGGTATAGTATTCCAAACAGAAAAAATGAAAAGAATATTTTGGATGAAGGGCTATTAAAGGATTAGAGGATTAGGAGTTTACTTTTACAAACACCAGGTAAGAACAGCACTTAACTATAATACCAAACTGTTGTAAATAAAAAACTCAATACTATTTTGTACATTTTGCTTCTGTAGTTAAATTACCTTTAAATCTTAATCAACATGAATCTTATTTATATACTAAATATATTTTAAAATCATTAAAACTCTTAACTATTATAATTGCATTCTTAAAGTTGTCTTTATAAAAAAATGTCATACTACATTCTTAATTTTCATAATATTTCATTATTATAGATTTTAATGGACCTTCTACTTCTGAGCAATTCATAGTTACATACTAATTTGTGATGATCCTGAAGAGCAAGATCACAGAAATGAGTTTATTAGTTTACACTTTATTATCTACAGATGCTCCTTTAAGGAAGAGTATTTTAAAAGGTATGGAACTTATAACCAATGAAGTATTTATAACAAACCAGTATTGAGGCATCTATATTTGTTTATCAATAGGAAGAAGACAGGATCGAAGGTCAAGAAGGGTTTGTTGCCAATTCTTTACCAAAGAAAATTATACAATTATTAATATTACAAATTATACAAATAAACAAGTGTCAGGATATCTTGTTTTATTTTGTTGTGTTCGGGACTTTGGTTTGTTAGTGTAATGGAAAACAGATATGATCATAAAAAAATAAATAAAAACTTTCCTGTACCATAATAATACTCTCTCTGCCTGATATTATGTTTATAATATAAAAATGCATAAGTGTATACCATATTTTTGGACAGACAAGTTTTTATTTCTTATTTTACGATTATATTTATCATTAAAAACATACTGTATGAATTTTGCCGCCTAAAATTCAGAGCCTACGTTTTAAATTTGTCACTAAATGAAATTAGTTTCGGCCCGTCCGCATTTGGCGCTAGAAACTCTCCCAAATCTTTCTATGGGACTTACCTTGCTATAGGGCTATGTACTGTGAAGAAAATAAAACATAACCTTTTAGTCCAAAGCTTTGATATTTGAAATTTTGAGTTAAATAATTTTAAATTATATATAACATTGACAATATTATTATGGCAGAGGATTTAGAAAATGTATAAAACCAAATAATAGTGCAGTTTTTAAATAATATTTTGTCTTAATTTTGTAGATTCCGTCTATAACAGTAAAGGAACCCTTGGACTTGGTGAGATTAAGTTTAGATGAAAGAATATACGTTAAAATGCGAAATGATCGTGAACTTCGCGGCAGATTACATGTAAGTATTTAGAATTATGTAGTTTTGTCATTTTGAAATTAAATTTGTGCATTTCTATATAATTATTCTTCATCTTTTCAATAATCCATTTGGTTACTAGCTTTGGTTCAGTTCCCATTACTCTTAAACATGTTCTTAACCCTTAAACTATTTTTATGTTATAGACCACTGTGTGAGAAAGTGGAATTTACATCTGTAGGGATATTTGGAGGTCTGTAAGTGTCATAATACAAGGCTATAAACTTGTCATTGTAGGGTGGTATTATGCGTTTATATTCTTTGGTGGTATTGTTAGCTAACTGTAAGATAGTCTTAGTACATATTAGCCACTATGTTAGTCTTGATTAGAAATATACATTCTACTTGTTTTTGTAAGCTTTGCTCTAACCATTGTTCTTTGTTGTTACTGTTGTTCTTGCTTTTGTTTGTCTATGTTTAGGAACAAATATTTTGCCTGCTTTTGGGGCCCATTAAAACTTACAGACAATAAAACTACAAACCATAACCCTCATATTTGTACAACATTAGTTTTTTTTTTGTAGGCATATGACCAACATATGAACATGATTTTAAGTGATGCCGAAGAAACAATTACTACAGTAGAAATAGATGAGGAGACATATGAAGAAGTTTATAGAACTACAAAGAGAAATATTCCAATGCTTTTTGTAAGGGGAGATGGGGTTATTTTAGTATCTCCACCAATGAGAACATCCTAATCACCTCTTTTTAATAATTGCTAAACTTCTTTTCTGCATATGTAAATGCATATATTTATGTTTATAACTAATATACTTATGAGTTTCTAAAATTTGAAATAAAAATATGTTTTTAAATTTTGTATGAACTATTTTTATTTAATAAATTTATAATTTATTAATCTTGTTACTGATGACCAAGAAATTCACTATTAATATATGGAAAACTATATTGTTGCCAAGTACAGTTGTTAATGCTTTGATTTAGAATTATTTTAACCCTCTGTAGTCTGTAGCCAACATGAAATATGTTTTCACTGTAGCTAATCTTAATCTAACCTAAGATGGAGAAATATAGACCAATAAGCCTTCTTCCATCATTCTCAAAAATATTCGAAAAAGCAATATATTTCAGACTACAAAACTTTTTTACTACAAACAACTTATTTAGTAGTTCACAGCATGGTTTTCTTGCACGGAGATCTGTTGAGACATCTACCTATTATTTTATATCAAAAATTTTAGAAAAACTGGAGGCAAAGATGAAATCACTAGGTGTTTCTTGGACTTATCTAAGGCTTTTGATAGCCTAGATCATGTTCTTTTATTACAAAAATTAGATCTTTATGGAATATAGGGACAGGCATTAAAATGGATAAAATCATTTCTCACAGATAGGTCGCAAAAGTATGCCTGGAGAATAGGGGATGTAAGGTTTACTCTGAACTGATCAATTTAAAATTAGGTATACCACAGGGGAGTGTCCTGGGGCCTTTTCTCTTTTTGGTCTACATAAACCACCTTCCAAGTGCACCAGTCTTTTTCAGTTTCATTGGAAAACTTCAATATGTATTAGGGGTTTGATTAAGTATCATAATATAGTTTTAAATATTGTAATAAATAATTTCTAAAACATTTATATGAGGTTGTCATTTTTCCAATTGTGTCTGAAGCTGTCCTATTCCCTGACTTGGGAGCATCTTCAGACATTTTTGAAAAAGTGGTTTTTTTTTACAACAGATATAGAGTTTAATATTAAAAGCATATATACAGTGAAAGTTGGGCGAACAATGTATTTTATGAATATTTTCTTTATTTATTTGGTGAGGTATTTAGAGTGATATGACAGTTCAAATTTTTATGTCTGGAGGCTATCCTTATACAAGTAGTGTCTCGTGCAATGTAAAAAGAAGATGTCTACTAATTTGGACATATATTATAATATTTCTACAATTGTAGTAAATACTTATAAGATTTTGTATCTTATTAAACTGTTATGTATTTTTTTCTTCAGACATTTGTCTGAATTACCATCGTCATTCATACTTACTTATTCTGATTTTAATATAAAGATTGACAGGCAACCATTCATGCAGAAGAAATATAGATTCTATTAGATAATTTATATTCTAATCTATGTAATCTACCGTATTAAATAGACTAGAAGTTGTTTTCGTATGAAGTTATATGTAATTGGAAATAATAAAACAAATAAACATTCTAAAAATGGTTATAATAAAATATGTCAAATATCTAAAATATATGGGGAATTTTCATTCTGATTAATTGTAGGAAAAATAAAAAAATAATTATTTAGGTAAACACGTGGAAGAAAAAAATAAATATTTGAATCATTCTAATAATCTAGCTTCTCTACTTTTTTTATATATAAAAGTCGTTTTATAATCATCTTCGAGGTAAAAATCGTGTGGCCTTTTGACCTTCACCAGTTTTTTTTCCTGACTTCGGTTTTCCGTTTCTTTGAATTCCTATAAACCAACTTTTGGAACCCAAAGTGCTTTGGAATGTTGAGTATGATGCACTAAAAGCTTCTGTGAAGATGGTGCCTTGATTGTGCGGGTCTTTCTGAAACAGATTAAGTAGGATTAAGTTAGAAATAATTCGTTATGTAAAATACTTAATACTGATATTAAAGTTTATATACATTACACAATGAAGAGAATTGATAACTGTGTTAATTGTTTTCAGATAAAAAATAGGGGTAAGTTAAAACAATGCAAAGACTCAGATTAAGAACTTTGTATTTCATTAAAAGGTTTAGACACCATCAAAATAACGTCTTTAATGTTTATGTCTTTCAAAGCATCGATTAGGCCTTTGTTATCTAACTCCATTTTAGCCAAGATTTCTGAAAGTAGTTTTTTCCTATAGCGCCTCTTAAGACATTCGATCACTCCTTTATCCATTGGTTGGATGATACTTGTTTCATATATATAAGCGAGGTTCCTACAGCCTCTGCCGCCATCTTTCTCTGTCCATCCATTCGTCTTCTTTGTTGGCTCTATCTCTCATTAGGTGTCGTACATTTTATTCCCAGGCAACTGAAGGCCTTCCCCTTCTTCTTTGTTGTGGTATGTAATTTAAAACTTTCTTTGGCCATCTATCTTCATTCATTCGCTTCACGTGACCATACCACACTAGTTGTCTCGTTTCAATTCTGTCTACACTTGAATATACAGTATTTGTCCTCCTCTAATATCTTCATTCTTGATATGATCTTTTTTGGATACACCACACATTCTCCTTAGAAAATCCATTTCTACTACTTCTATTCTTTTTCTATCTTTTTTCGTGATCTGCTAAACTTTTGCCGCATAAGTCATAATAGGCTCTACCAAGGTTTCATAGATTGTCAATTTTGTTTCTTGTCTAATATCTTTAGATCATAGTCATCGAGTTAGAATCTACATAATTGAGAGTTTAGAATGTTAACTGCTTTTTTTCCCTGCTGAGTTCTGTTTTCGATGTCCCTTTTGGTAGTGCCTTCTTTAGATATTATAGATCCGAGATATTTATATTCATTGCATGTTACATTTGGTGGAAAAAAATACATTTTATTCCAGGCTCCTTTTCTGTCTGAATGTTATTTACAAAATAATTGTACAGAAGCTTAAGCATTATATTTACACATTGATTATTAGCCAAATAAAGAATAATATTTAAAATTCCATTTTAATTTTTGCTCCACATTTTATACAAATTAACTCTAACTGATAATACAGGCACAAATATTCTAAACAAGGTAAGTAATTAAAAAGATTATCGAAAACTCCAGTGCAGTTTACCGTGCCTTTTAATACAACGAAGTCTTCGGCGAATTCCACGTTTTGAGGTGTAAGTTTCTTGAATGTACTGTAGTTAAAAAACTGATATGGTAAACTATTAACAGAGGATCATCGGCTTTACTACAACTATTAACGAATAAAGGGAAAGTTCTTGAGGGGAAACTATTAACAATTAGACTAGAAAAGTCTATGAAGAATGTAGGTATTGTATAAATTGTCTGTTGAAAATTAAATGCGATGTGTTATATTATTTAAAAGTTATTTATATTTATTCAAGAGGTATATTTTGGAAATGTGTGTTAATTTATTGAAATTATTTATTTAGAACAGACAGCACTGTGACAATGTACGTGTAAACCTACTATAATATCTTTTTAACCCCAAAACACGAAAAGAAAGGGAAAAATCTAGTACTCTCAAATTAAGTTTTTCACGCACAAGAGCATATAATTAAAAACAATAATAGTAAAAGTTATGATATTAAAGCTAAAGCCATCTACAGTTAGCTTGAAGCCTTATGAAATATTATTCAAGGTAAATTATTTAAATTTTTCCTATTTCAATTGCATAAAAATGAAATAATGTGATACCTATTTATTTTTTCATATTAATAGCACGAGTCCATCTTCTTCTTTTCTTTAATTTATATGTAATCTTTGGGAACCTATAAAAACTACACTCACATTTTTGCTATTATTAGCACAATAAAATACGCAACATGTATTTGCAAACATTTTTGATAAAATTTATGCATAAAAAGATAGGTCCAATTTTGTCATATTTCGCCGCTACGCACGCTGGCATCGTTTCAATGTACCCCTGCCATAGTTACGCACGGAGCGAATGTATGAAAATTATGTCATTTTATTGTCAACTTAAATTTTATGATCTAATTTCAGAGAATTTATGAGTAATGTTCGAATGTTTTATTAACGGCTTTTAAATATTCGATCTAAATATAATTTGTTTCGTTTAGCATGAACTTACCTCTCCATATAACTCTCCGTTATCGTCAAAACATAAATACAGCTGGCTATTAATACCTAAAAGCCTTACTAGACTCACATCTCCCCCAGAAGAAATTTCTATCATGCCTAAAAAAGGTTGTGAATAATTTTTTTATTATTACGATCTAATGTGCTTTAATAAATTGGACTATTTTAGCGCTACTGACATTTTTAAAATAAATATCGTCTAAATAGATGTCTACAAGATAAAAAATATTTACTTGTAAAAGAATTTAGTGTATTTAGTAGTAACTACTAACTGGCTTTATTTATAGATTAAAATGTTGGAAAAATTAATGGTTTTTTAAAAGTTTTTTGACAAGAAAGATAATTGCATATTTTTTTACAGCAGTTGGATGGATTTGTCTATTATCTATTGAAAATTTTCTATCTTGAATTCAGTTAACTTTGTTTTTCTATTAAGAAATGATAATGTAAAATTGTCTAAACAATTTATCAAATTTTTGTAATTAATTTATAGGCGTATTTGTTTATAAACACCTTGTCAGATATTATTAGCAGATGGAGCAACTGAAAACATTAAAAAATGTTCCTAGTATGATGTCATTTTAACTAGCATACCAACGACTTTTATTTAATGTATGTACATAATTTTCTGGGGTACATTATTTCCTTTTCTTTTTTTAAAGGCATTGATAAATTGACATATTTATTTCTACATAGGCTTAGCACTTTTCTTGAGTCTTTAGCGTTTACTAGTGCCTTCCATTATTGTCGGTTGTGTGCCAGAGGATTCCCCACTGTCTCACCTTCATTTTCTTTAGCTTCCCTGTGACTGCATATTTCTTCCTTTTTCTAAGCCGTTCTATTGTTTTTCTTTTAATTGGTCTTATAAACGCATTGTTTATAAGTCTGCTGTCACTCTGTATCACATGTCTCACCCATCTATGTGTATTTTCCTTTATGT